AAATCAAAATTGTTGTAATGCAGATTGAAATCGATTAAAACCTAATTTTTTTTTTCTTATGGAAACTTAATTTTCCTCTGGAGGCATGCAATCAGATTTAAGTTGAATTACAACTGCGAAGATTATCAATAATTGTGTGATAAAAAAATGACGCAAGTTAAAAAAAATATATAAATTCGCCTGGACATTACAAAATAACGAATCCAGCAAGTCTAAAAGACCTGACGGCAAAGGAAACTTGAAACACCGTTCATTATCGAGATGCCGGCTTTCCATGTTGCAACGAAAGTGCTAAAAATGCTATCTTGCTGTTCTGTTGTTGGATTCTCGAATATTTGCTCTGATTCAGGGTGCGAGTGAGTGAAGGCGGAGATTAATGGCTCAAGAGCCAGATGTAACTACTGCGCCAAACTGTGATCTACGACGTTTGAAAAAAAAAAGGGGGAGGGAGATAATTTATTGACAAGAAGGAGTATGGAAAATAGAGAAGAATCGCTAGGATAACTCTAGGTTGCATCACCCATGTTTACCAAAGGCAGAAAACTGTAGGAAAGAAAAAAAATTACTAAAGTATCTTGGGGTCATGATGCTTGTTTTTGCCTAAGAAGGGAAATCCCCTGGGGTGCTGCTCCGATTGAATTCGGTTTCTTAAACGTAAAATTATACCCCGCTTCAGGTTTTCACATGGCTCGTTCAAAATCTGTAATATGACAATCAATCGCGGTTGTGTCAAAACAGACTCTTACGCTCTTTTTGGTTGTATGTGCTTGAGTAGTCTCGTACTTTGATACGATGAAACTCAGTGGCGTATCCAGAAATTCATTTTGAGGGGTGCGTATCGTCATTACCATGAAAGAAGCAATTTTGTAGTTTAGAATTACCACTTGGTAAAAAGTAAATAATACGCTATATCAGTCTCATTTCTCCTATTTAAAACTGTTATAAGTATTGATATAATTTTATCAAGTAATAAAAATTACGAAAATGAAAATTATTTAATAAAAATAATTAAGATACCATAAAAATAAGATTTGTATTTTTAAGAGGTGCAGTTTCTATAGGGAAGCATCTTTGTCTCTCCATCCTCTTTATTTCGCTACTGTGAAACTAATGCCACCTTTAAAAAATTTCTCACTAATGATTAATCTCTCACTACTCAAAATTTCATCAACAATTTTTTTCATCATAAGAAAGCCAAATTTAAGGAAAATGAAATTTGTATTTCATCAAGTAATCTTCTTCAACATTCAAATAATATTAACACTAAAAAAAACTTCTTGAAAAAACTTCAACGTCAACCCATATGTAAATATTTGAATTCTGAATGCGATATTTCTTCCATTTCCTTGACGAAAACGAATATAATTTTTTTTTGAAATCTTCCATGAAGATATCTCTCGTGGTTATCTTTGAAGTTTTCCAAAGGATTCACTAATGCGAGGTAGGAAACAAGTTTGAAGTAATTGGAAAGAAAGAAAAAAACACGAAACATTCTGAAAGGAGACGAGTAGTTCATGTTCTCTGGTCCTGACAAAAAGAAATGGCTTTCCCTTGAGAACACCCAAAGAAGAATGATCCGATCGCGCGTGACAGTTGAACAAACAAACAAAATAAATGTTACTCAGATGAAGTCAAGCATTATCACAATCCCATTTAAAATTCTTTTAGATGCTTTTTATTTCGGAATTCCAGATTTGTGTGTATACATGGTCAGATGTTGCTAATATTCGCTTTTCATTATTTCAACAAGTAAACTTACGATTCCAGGTTTTTTTTTCTTTAAAAAAACATCGTCTTTTTTCTAGAATTTTTAATCCACCATGTTTGAAAGAATTAAGTAGCGTTCTTCTCCCGCATAATGACAGGACATTTGTGAGTCGGTGATATTTAGAGTTTATAACGTAAGAGCCAAATCTGGCTAAGTATTATGAAACCTCAGACTAAATACTTCTTTTTGGAACAAAAATCGCCACAAAATTATTTAAAAAAAAAGACTACGTAATGGTGTGTTCTTTTTCTTCAAGAAAACCACATAAGTTTTCAAACCAATCTGAAATTAGATGTTCTCTGGAAAAACCAGTAATCACTTTCTATTACAAAGAATTCTCCAATCGACTCGAAATGTTTTATTTATTTTGTTTTTGAGAATTTTTTGTTGCATGATTCAAATTCCCATTCTCAGTGACCTGATTAACTTTAGTAAAGAACCAAAATTGAAAATGTGATTTGGTATTTTACTAAAGTCAGTTCTAAGCATAATTCTAATATCTCAATGTTTTGAGTTGGATCATTTCAACGATACTTGTAATCAACTTTGAATATTCCCAGAACTTGGAATGTCCACAGGTCACAACCATCGATAAGTAACACAATCCTTGCAATTTCGAATGAGAGAAAGAAAGAAACGTTATTCAGTGACTGGAATTAAAAAGGAACGATTGCCCCTTGATTATGCGCGAAGCCAATGTCCGACACAATGTCTTATCGTCCGAAGAAAAACGAAAACGGAATTCTCTTCAGAAAGAACAGCTTCAGGCATTTTTCATAAAACAGGTCTCTTTCCTCTCCCCTCATCCCAATTGCAGGATTGTTTATTTTCATTCACCGGGTGTTTCTGAAGGTATTCCGCGCAAGAAATCGGACAGAATCGATTTTTTAAAAGTTCTCTATTTAGTATACCTGAATTCGTGTATTGCTTTTAAAATAAGCATCCTTTGCGATGTTTTAAAAGTGCAGGTGATTTGTTGTCTGCAGCCTAGGTTCGATGAAAATTAGTTATTAGTTAAAGTGCTCATTATAACAACAATTAGATAGTTAAGGGAACGTGATCCGTAACAGGTGAGTAGATTAGAAAAACGAAAATCTATCATTGGCTTACGAGAAATATAAATACTGATGAAAATAGACTTGAAAAACAGTCTACCATTAAATTTCGTTTTATATTTCAGATTCAATAATGATAAAGTATAGAACCGATCTTTTTCTAAAACTGTGTATATAAGACATTTACTTTTGTTTGTTTGCAATGTAAGCTTCCGTGGGATTAGAAACAATGAATATATTCAGAGAAAAATAATTAACATTTTTCAGCACATCTCGTGTTCGTGATTCCCCCATCGAACTTCAATAATTCGTCGGATGCTTTAGATGAGCAGTGGTTGTGAAATGGTCCCCATGGTTTCTCGAAGTTGAAAATCGCTTAGGGAAGAAAAAAAAAAAATTAAAAAATTGGTCCTCCGGAGATCCATCGACTCGTTGTGATTCGAATTTAGCTCTTGGATCCGTGAGTTTGATTGGATAACTTAACTTGCAATTCATGCATGTTGCACAAGAAAGGGAAAATTTAATCTTTGTAAAGAGAGCTTGAAAAAACGCGAGCCTGTTGATTCTGGTGTACATACATCACGCATAATGTTAATGAAAGTGTAGTGATAAATTTGTTTCAAAGTGACGTTGAAATCTTAATGATGATCGAGAAATAGCGACAGCAAATAAATTTAGAGCCAACATTTTGATAAAGTGCCCGATTGAGCTTTCAATCACGTAAATGGGCAAGCAATTACCGAAACAAATTTCTCTATACTTCAATTTTGGTAAATGGTAAAAGTAAATAAATAAATATAATAAAACATAATCCGATGAGGAAATATTTTATTACTCAAGGGGAAAAAAGAGGTCGATTTTGTCCCCAAAACTGCTGTAAGTAACAATATCTGAGATGGTACGAAACTCTCAACATTGAAATTAATAAAATTTTTCGCCTTTATTTCCTTCTCTCGATCACTTTTCTCGATCGTATTCTCACAAAAAATAATGGAAAAAGTTAAAGCAAATGATGAATTTGCTTAAAGCACAAAACATAATTCTTCTAATGCGGAATCAACACGAAAAAAGCAGATTTTTGTATAATTGTCCAAGATATTCAAAAATCACAAAAGGTTTCTTCAAATCTTAAGTTCTAAAAATGTCTGTTTCGAGTTTTTCAAAATAAACATGGTTCTGACCGAGAATATATAGGAAAAAAATATTTGATCGGAGAAGGAAGAAAGGCATTGAAAAAATAAGGGGAATAAAAAACAGAGAATCCGAAAGAAATGCTTACTTTTTCTGTGGGGTGCTTGATATAGGACGATCCGTCATGACTCATGGTGGCTCCTTCAGCGCAGCAACAGCCGCGGCATGCTCTCGTCCGAGGGGCACTCACAACAAACACACTTCGTCGTCGTCTTCTTTACCTGAGAGAGTGAGTGCTCCTGACCTTCACGCGAAGCAGTGAAAGTGATGGCAATGAAGTAGAAATTCCCCCTCACTCCTCTTCGGCTGACCGGTTCAGGAAAGGAAGATTCTCTCTTTTCGCAAACAAACGTACAACCCTTCAGTTTCGTGCATCAGGTCCCTTTCCCTCGAGACAGGAGTCTAGGGGATCTTCCAATGTTTTTTGCTGTGCATGTAACTCAACTACCAAGACCCTAACACCTGAAAAAGACGAAGGTGGTCTCGATCAAGTAAACTGAATTTATGCATAGAAAGAGAGGGAAAAAATGAATTGAGAGAAAAAAAAAAAGTGACAATGACGCTCTTAATCAGTCTCTAAGAGAAAAATCAGAATTTTCTTGAAATGAAATGGCGTAATAACATATTTTGTGTCTGATATTTAAAAGGATTTCCGATTGCAATCAAAATTTAAAATATTAATTGATTGTCTGTCATTAACGTCGCACTTAGGTGCAACACGAGGGCGATTCACGACGGACCTAGTAATTTTGAAGCATGGTCTAATAACGAGGACGACACCTGAGCTAGCACCCACCTCTCCTAACGTGATTGTTTATTAATGTCGCAATGAGAAGCAATACGAGGGCTATTGGCGATGGACCTAGCAATCGTGAACCTCGGCTAAGTAACGAGGATGGCACCTTAACTGGACCTCCCTCTCCAAACTTCCACACTACGCTAATAGTAGGACTTCGGACCTTGACAGGTTTAATGTGCACCGGCCTCGCTACAAGGTGGGTCTTTAGTGATATCACGGTTCGAACCCATGACTCTGGGAAAACCGCATGTCTCGAGTCCCGCGATCATGATCACTAGACTATCGCAGCTACTCTCCAAACTTCCCCGTCATTGGGAGGACTTGGAGCTTTGACTTATTTAACATACACCAAGGTGGTACTTCACGGTGGGTCCTTAGTGGTATCAGGACTCGAACCCTCAACACGACGGCCGCGAGTTCGCGACCATGACACTAGGTTACAACGACCGTAAGATTCAGAAGGAGAGTATTCCCTCCTTCTTTCAAAGCGTTGCTTAACCTTTCACATAAAAGTCTTTAGATTCAGATTCCGAGGCGCCTTCTGGACTTCAATCTTTTCTGATAGAATAGAACGACGAGGTCTCGACACTAGTTGGGGTTCAGAGCGCACTCATTCACAGTCACCATTATTTTCATTTGAATGCAAATGCAGTTTTTGGCGATAATGTTTTCCTTTACTTCAATGGAAAACATTTCGAGTCATTCTCATAAGAAGGCATTTCAATATTTTTCATTCACATGGGGCGAATGGAGAAAGACCTTCTTGTTCTTGATGTCCATGCAGTACGAGGGCCTTTGTGAAAATCTGAATTGATCTCCAAAATTAACCAATATTTAAAAAGATACTCGGAAGAAACATCTGACGAACAAATCTGCAAAAAAAAAAAAAAAAAAAAAAAATTCTTCACTGGAAATGGCTTCAAACGGTGGATTTTTTTTCTCAAGTAGGAATGTTGCGTTTGAATTTTAGAATCTGCGCCATTTTTATTTTTCATCAAGTAGTTTAATTTGTTAAGAATTAATACAAAATAACGAAACAATGGAAAAGTATTATTCAAGTATATGTCAAAAGATATACCATGAAATTATTAAAGAGAAAAAAAAAATGTTTTAACGCTTTCCTCTTTTTCTGTTTCATTAATTAAAAAAATTTAAAGAAAAAGTAAACGGGAAAGGCATTATATATATACTAGTGTGTAAAACTTAAGCAACTTAACAGATTGTGCTGTAATCCCCCAAAAAAATCAACTGGGTAATATGAAATTCACTCTACAGAGGCCCAATGTAGCACTTAAAAGTTGATGAAAGCATAATAGACGAAAAATGAATTGTACGCATATCTTATGGAATAAAGTACAAAAAGGCTTTATTGACAAAATGGCGTTTGTAAAAGCATTGTCTGACCATGAGGAAGAACAAACTAAAATCCCTTAGCAAGGAATATTACCTCCTCTAAATGCAATGGTTGCGTTGCACCGTTTATTCATACTCAATACCAAATTATCCAGCAGTTCTTGAGGTAAGAAGTACCACTCATCAAGAAGCATTTGTCTCAGCTGTCTGGTTTTCTCCGAAGGATATGATCTTGCTGCCAAGTATCTCTCCGAAGCATCCCACACATGTTCGATGGGATTTAAAACAGAGGAGCATGCTGGCCAAACCAATATGCAGATATCCTCTCTCTAAAGAAGCTCCTCAGCAACAGAGGTCCTGTGTGAACATTTTACATTTGTATCTGTAGTTTGGAAGGTTATCCAAGCTCCTGAAACTACACTTTTATGAATTCCAAACTCTCATACAACACTCGCCAAACTACATCCTTTTCAAGTTTGCTGTTCATTCTATCTTGATGATTCCTTGTAACAATTATTGAAAGTACGATTTCACTTTCACTTGACGGGTATGTCTGGAAGTGTTCCTTTTTCTTTTAAGTTGCCTAGGCACTGAGCATGCGTTCCTCGCGTTTTCATGCTATGCTTTCTTTTCTCTGTACTGGTCGCAAAACCCCTTTTCAAGAACTTCGGAATTATGTGTTGAAAAATGCATTTGTTTCTTAAGTTTTTCCC